GTCTCTAATTTTTTAGTAATTTCTTAGCAATTTCTAGGCGAAATGTTTAGCTGAAAAGTTATGGAATACCCAATCTTTCTGGAAATTTTAGACTTTCTGGATTTTTTTTTTCAGGAATTTCTCCAGATACTAATACCTGTAAAGCAGATATTTGATGAACCTGAATTCAATAATCATTATGATGATTTGCTCAAAAATTTACCTCCATCTGTGAAAAGGGATATATGGCTACGACTTACAACCTGCAAAAATAATCCATTATCTGAAGAACAGGTAAGAGGGATTCATCTAGACATTGAGAAATTGCTTACTAGGGAGGTTAATAGATATTTTAGGAAAAGGGATTGTCAGAAAATTAAGATCAAAGCAAATACTACCTCAGATAGTTCTAATACCTTATCCTGATTAGATGGATTTGAGAAGCAGTTGGAAGAAGTTGAGATTTTGCTAAAACAGAAGGAAATCAATATTAAGAAAACTATTGAGATCCAAGTTGCTGAGAAACACAAATGTCTAAAAGATGAATATGATACTCTTAAGTTTCATCTAGAAAGTGAATATAATAAATGCATGATAGATATGAAACAAAAGACTTATTTATTCAAACATCAGCTAGAAGAGCAATAGAAATCCGGCTCAGATGACTTGGAGAGGCAATACAAATCTCATATCAATACTTTAGATAAATCTATAGCTGTAAAAGATAAGGAGATTGGCAAGTTATCCACTACTATTTCCCAACTTAAAAAAGATAAGAATGCTCTAAAATAAGACTTCGCTTCTGCTAAAAAGACTATTAAAGTATTGGATGATATTATCTATAGTAAGGATAAGACAATTATTGCTTATAATGAAGGATTACGGAAAATTAATCCTAACTGTATAGATGATACTATAAAACTAACTAGCTTTTATGAAAAGGATGCTCGAAATTTGTGGAATAGGTGGCGTGATGATGTTAAAGATAATGCTATATCCGAAAAAAATATACATTCTGCTCATATGTTTATAGTTCATTCATTTCAGTTTGATCTTAGACTCTACACTGACTCGATTATAACTCAATATAGATACTAAATTGTTTAAACTATAACTCAACATAGACTCTTCGTTAACTTGACTATAATCCAATGTAGAATTAGTAGACTCATCATTAATCTAACATTTAGTTTTTTTATGGCGTAAAAATAAATAGGGATATGTAAACTCCTTTTCACAATATTGATATGTTCAATCAGCTAGTTTTTTTTATTTCTATAGGACTGTTCTCTTTAGGATCTCCTTTTTTCACAGTAAAGATATTACGTTAAGATTTGTGAACTGATAGGGGAATGGTAATAGTCTTTCCATTACATGTAGCCTTAAATTCTTCTTTTATTAAAGGCTTCCATCCAGCTCGATATTGCCATTGAGTGCCGAGAATTACTAAAGATTTAGCATTTCCATTCTGATCCTTTTCTGCAGGTACAACAGAAATATCATCTATAATATT